GGTGAACCTGAACAGGAGACTTGATAAATACATAGTCCCCAATTCTCTTTGTGGAAACTGATGATACAAATGTGAAGAACATACCTATGCAAAGTTTCTCCTTAACTATTTTGATTGGAGACTTTTCAGAGATACGAGTTTTCTTCTTTATTTCTTCTTGTCTCTGGGAGGATCTCTCAATAAACTTTTTTTTTCTCTTTACAAATGCTTCTTGTAAGCTCTCTGGGATAGCTGTAGGCTTTGGAAGGGTTTCTGTAAAAAGAAACAGTGAAGCTATTTCCATCCAATTATACTTTTTTATTTTATGCCAGCAATAAGATTTTGTTCCCCCATCCCTCTGCCAGAAATAGGAAGGCCAAGGATTTTCACTGGCCCCTGGATTCACTAACCATTCAAGGTGCTCAAGCATACCTGCAGACACGGTCTTCTCCATAGAATGTTCTGGTACACCTGGACAGTCTGAGGTTTCTGTTTCTGATGCAAGAGGTAGAAATTCACTCACCTAGTTGTAAGAAAGAATTTACCACTTTTCACCTTATTGTACAGACTGAAAGCAAAGGTTCTCATCTAACCAAACCCTGGTTCCCTCAGGTGGACAAAGGTATTTGGGTGAGGTGGGCGTTTGGATGGCTGATGGCTCCTCTCAATCCTCAGTTGAAGTAACAGACTAATCACTAATCCTCACCCAGTCTACTTTCCTCTTCTGAAGTCTTCCTCATCTGGTTCCCGTCAAGTCTGGTAATTAGTCCACTACTTTTTTAGAAACAATTACAGGTGGTTGTGTGGAGTTTGAAATATTTTGGAAGTCTTAGGTGAATTCCCTTCTAATTTGGCATCAGGCACAAGAAAAATAGTTCTGCTATAGTGCTGCATAGTACAGTGTACAAATAATATTACTTGGGACTTGCCTACAGATTTGGGTTGTGGGGATTAAAGGCAAACATACACAATAGAAAGTCTGATTCTTAAAGTGAATGAATTCACCTCTTAACCTAGATTAAATTAGAATTAAATTCAGAATTCCCTTCAATTACTGCCTTGTGGGCCAGACAAGAACAGTTTTTCCCTAGTGGAAAAAAGTAAACATGCAACCGCAGAACTAAACCTTTCAGTAACATTCTGTATCTGCCTCAGGTCTGGATTTCCTTACCAGTCTTACAGTGTCTCTGCTGCCTCTCAAAACTTGGAACAAAATTTCTTTCATTGGGGAGTGAAAGGCATGAAATCCAACCCAAATCTTAATGAGATCGATAGCATATGTATTTAGAAATATTCCTAAATGCTCTGCCTGTCAGCTGTCAATTTCTATGAGCACATTAAACCTCTCTGTCACTTGGTATAGCTCACTTCATTTGCATCATACAGGGAAAGAAATTAGCTCTGTAAATGAGGTGTATTTATATGAAAGAACTGAAAAACTTACCTGAATACAGTTACTTGGTTCATACTGTCCCTTTTCTTCTAGGGTTAAGTTAGCAAAATCAGTTTCAGCTATACTGACATCACTGGCGCTTACTAATGTAAGTTCTGGTTCTTCCATTATACCATGGCCAGATTCTGTCTCCTGTGCAGTAAAATTAAAAAGGAAATTATATCCAAGAATAACAGTCTTAAAACACTGGAGAACAGCAAGGGTTGGTAAAGACTAAGGTGGTGCCTCCCCCTCCCCAAACCCCTTTTGAAAGACTGGAGAAGACTTTGGGGAATAGATGAGTGATGGGGTAACTGTCTAAAAATAGCTTCTGCAAAGGTTAGAAATGCAAATATTTCAGAGGGCTGCAGCAGCACCTGGAGTGTCATGTCCAAGGGGAGCAGCAGCTCTCTGGTGCAGCCAAATAATGGCCACTGCTGCCAGATGACAATTTAAGGGAAATGTCTAAAAAAAACAATTTAAACATTTACAAAACCCAAAAGCAGCCAAACACATCTGGGGCCTACATGTTACCTTTATTTTCAGTCTCATATGTTCGCCTTAGAAGGACAAACAATACTAGAAGGTAAAAACCTTATTCAGTAAGTTGAAGCCAGGCAGATGAGTGCAGTGAGGTTCAACACAATGTGCTGAAGCACTGGCTGAGCCACCATTGCGCAGGGAAGCTGGAGCACAGAAATCAGAATTGGGAGGAAAGGTCTTACATAGAATTCAAAGGTCAGCTTAAAATTTGGAGCTTGATTATTTCATTGTTGGAGATGTCTAATCTCTCAAATGTTGAGTAGCTTTGTTGCTTCAAGTTTGTTTCAAAATTATTTACTGAAAATAAATTTTAATGCTGTTTATGCAACACAGATTTTCACTTACCCAGACTGGAATATGACTCTGTAACGAAAGTGATCCAGAATTTAAAAAGACCTCTGATTGTGCTAGTTGAGATAGGTTTCCTGTGATTTTTGGAGTTTCTGCTTTAGCTGAATCCTCAAAATTTTCATTCTGAGAACATTCCACTGTTCTTACACATAATTGGGAGTCAATTTCTTCAGCATCTGGATTTATATTTGAAACGCCACAGGATTC